AGGCAGCATTTGAGCAGTGATGCAACAGCAGAGCAAGAAGAAGTGGCTGACAGCCCATGGCAGGTGAGGGGACAGGCACAAACAGCAGAAAACTTCTCGTGATTAATGCACAAGTGTCCCTGCAGGATCTGCTCCAGAGCTCACCCAGCTCTGCGTGACTCACAACAAAACTCTCTCTCAAATAACATTCCTGACTTGCAAACTTGAAGGTAATTACAGTCTGGTTTCACTGACAAGGAAACATTTTTCAAGATCTCCCTGAACCTCGTTTTGTTGCCTTACTGAATGTCTAACAAAAGTTAAAATAAATCTAACTAAACTTATTTTCTACTGATTGTATTTCAGTTTTGAGTCTCATAAAAGAGTGGAAATTCTGAACACATAAACAAAGTGCTGCTTTTTATCCCTGGAAGCCCAAGGCACTTGATTCCCTATCAAAAGCTCATATTCTACTAAAAGGTGGAATTTGGACTCCAAGCTGGGCAGGTCACAAGTTTAATCACTGTCAGGTGGCTCCCTGAGACCTGCTGGAAAAAACACGAGGGGCAAACAGAATCACTGAAAGGAAACTGAGGGGTACAACTTCCTTTATATACAATTATTTTTTCATACTTTTTTCTTTAACAGCTGTTCTCTTTTTCAAATAATTGCTTTTGAGACTTTTAAATCTTGCTGTAAAACCCCAACCAACCAGAACACACACACTTCAGCTCTGTAACGGTGCTTTAATTCCCGGTGTAATTTCTAGATGACATTTCTAGATTCCTATACTAATTTTGAGGTGAAGTTGCCCATTTGCCCTGAACTGAACACAATCCTCTCACAATTGTGGGAACTTCACGCCAGAACAATGGGGATGGGCCAGAACATCTCCTTTCCAACCACAGAGCACAGAAGGTAAGAACAGGAGCTTCAGTTACAACACCAAATATACATTCTAATGAAATGTTAAACCCACTCATCATTGTGGGTATTTCAAGAGCAGAACTCAGCCCTCGGTGCCCTGGGCACCCCAGGAGAGCTCCCCAGCCCTTCCCTGACTCCAGGGAGCTCACAATGCTCACCCCAGCCCCAAAGCAAAGCTTCTTTTATACTTCTCCATTATAAGCACTGTGGAAATGCATTAATATTAATTTTCCCTGGACGAAAACTAATTATCCTGGTTTATTAGGCAAGAGGAATTAACTTTCCAGAAATACTTCCTGAAAACCAATGACAGTCCAGCAGAGCTCTGAGTTTAAAACTTGGAACTTCTGAAAAATACCTCCTCTCATCTTAGGGGAAAGCTGTAACACAATCATTCCTCTCACTCATCACCTCTTCTTCAAAACTGAGGAGCTAATTAGTATCTAAAACATTTTAAAGCAGCCACATATAAATAACAGAAAAACAAAATAATGAACCAAACGGATCTGTCAAAATTCAACTTCCATTTTCCACAACTCCCGGGGTCACAGCAGCAGGACACACAATGACCAAAAGGACATGAGACATCTGATCCCACAACCCTGGCCTGAGTTTCACACCTGCTTCTTGGACTTATTTCATTCCAGAGCCTGTAACAACTGTTCAGACATCACTGTCAGCACCAAACATACACATTTTTAGGAACTTTTTGTTACTCGTTTTGGACACCCTGAAGTTGTTGGTATCAAACAGAAAATCTCTTTATCTTGCTGCCAACCACCCACTCAAGGTGAAAGGCAGGGCTACGTGGGCATACATTTTCTCCTTAACCCACGTCACCTGTGGATTCCTTCTGCGCCCTCAGGTCATTAACTGATAATTGAATTACGGTGTCTAGACTCTCCATATTGCTCTGCAGAAGAAATGGCACCGTGCTGAAAAGCACCAACACAACACACAAATTAAACACGCTAAAACAAATAATCCCTCCCTTGAGAACTGATCAAAACATTCCCAATTTCTGCACCAAAACCTTCAGTCTCCACTTCATGGACAAGCTGCCATCAGTATCGTCCCTCCCCATACCTTATGTGCATCTCAAAGGAGCAAAATCCTGCGTTCAACTTCTCTGCTGCGTTTTCAGCTTTAAGGGTGTTGTTACCTGGCAGGGATTTCACCTGCTGCTCCTGACACACCTGTACAACCCGGGTGTGCTACCCAAGCCGCAGAACGACACGAGAGCGATGGGAGGGATTTATTTGTAATCATTTAAACTGAAACTTCCTCTGTGCATCCACCTTTGGACGAAGCAAAGCTTTTCCGGGACGGCTCAAGAGCCCCGGGCGGGACGCGGC